CGGCGCGAAGAGGCCCCGTCAAGTTGGAGTGGGCCGCCGCAATTGAGGCGTTGCTCTCCGGATTGGACAGCCCCGCCGGCCGCCAGGCAATACGGCTGTTCAGGGCGATCTGGCTTGTAGCGGAGGCGGCTCCCGTTATGTTCGTGACTCATATCCGGCATTTGTTAGATCGTGCCTTCCCTGGAATGGACTCAGCCTCAAGACAGCAACTGCCGGTGGATCAGAACCTGATCGGTCTCCCACAGCCGATCGCGGCACCTCCCCAACATGCGGACGTGGCTCCGAGATTTCACTTGCAGGAGCTTGTGCACGATACACGTGAGCTGGGCGACACACCACTCGCTGCATGGGAGGAGGAACATGGTGAAAGCTTGGTGCGGTTGGATACATTGGAGTCGATAATGGAACAGCTCGGGCAAAATGTCAGTGGGCTTCACGTTCAGCGCTTGGAGGAGCGACCAAGAAGATATTGCTTCCTTTGCGGAATACCGGGACACTGGAAGCGACGATATCCGGCGAAACGCGCTGCGATCTATGTACCAAGTCTACACGTTCACTTTTGTTCTTATCTCTTCGTGGAGTGTGTATTCGGAGGCTGAATACGGGGGCGATGGTCGAACTAGACGGAACGATGGAATTGTGCCTGTTTGATGCCGGTGCCGCAGTGTCTCTGATCAGTCATCGGCGGAGCGAAAAGCTTCAATCGTGTTTCATGGTCGTAAGACCTGTTGTAAGTTACTCGGTGTACATTGTGGGTAAGACAGCACGCAATATGAAAATTGGAGAACAGAAATTAAAATACGTCTTCGTCGTGTCACGAGATGCGAAGCAAACCATATTGGAGGCAGATTCCCTAGAGTCCAACAAGGCAATCGGCGATTAAAAATGAGAGAAACGGCTGAGTGAATACGGGTCCTTACCACTTATTGGCCATGGAGGAACTTTCCCTCTGTTTTCTCGGTTGTTGCCGCGTTACGCGTGACTGCGGCCTTGCAGTCGCTCACAAGCAAGTGCCACCTGTTTACGGATGACGGAAGTCCGTATGGATTGAGCACACCATTCCGTTAACTCGATAAACGTATCACCCACTGGGGCTTCGGGGGGTGCCAATTCACTTGATGGCTGAGGGAAAGAAGCAAGTGCAGGAGATACTAAATGCGGATGGGATTGGACAGGGCCACAGCTCATACAATTCTCGTAGTTTTACCGAAGCAGGCCAATGAGAAATATCGTTTTTGTGTAGATTCCCGAAAGATGAAGGAAGTTCCCTTGAGTCGTTTCGTCCCAGTGCCATCAGTTGCAGATGTTTTTGATGGATTGCAGCAGTCGAGGATATTCACGGGCCTGGACCTGAGTTCTGAATATTCGTGGCAACTGGCGATCAAGCGTGAAAACAGAGAAAAATCGGCTCCTGGTGGTCTGAGGCATTCGATTCCACAGCATGAGATATTTAAGCGTTAAGAAGTTACACTGTAAACGTGTGTGACAACGAGGTAGCTTTGTCGCGCCCACTACCGACCGGACGTCGCGAATCTACAAAACCCTGCAATTTTAATCAGGTACCAAGCCTCACTGTCAATCTTGCTTGGCTCAACTATTGACGGTGATCTCGATTCGCAATGGGCGCATATCAAAGATGCTTTAGTTTCCGCCAGTATTGACACTTGTGGAGTTAACCGTCGCCCACCGAAGCATTGAACTTCCGCCGACTCTTTGTCGCTATTGACAGACGCCGCTTGCTCCCATCGGATTCCAGACACAGTGAAGAACGCCAATACCTTGGTCGAGAGTTGCGCAGGAGTTTGCAAATGGACCGCGAAGCTTGGTGGTGTGAACGTGCTAGGGAGATGGAGCTTGCTAGTCTTTCTGGTAATACCAGAAAACTCTTCCATCTCATTCGAGTCACCGGTGTTCGATCTGGTATAAGTGAAACAATATGCGAAGAGGATGGCACCTTAATCACCAATCTTCAACGACGGTTGGAGCGATGGGCCGAACATTTTGGCTCACAGTTTTGTTGGCCCCCAGCTCCATCTGCTACCTCTGGCGCTCGCGCTGGAGCCGAGTGGTCTATCCCCATAGATCCTCTCTTCCCAGGAAATCGAGCAGGAGCTCCGGCACATGAAGCGTTATAAAGCCCCCGGCCCTGATGGTCTTCCTCCGGCTTTATTTAAAGATGGTGACGCATCGCTGGTCCGAGAACTCATCGCATTGTTCTCGAAAATTTGGTCGCAAGAGAAAGTTCCGTCATCTTGGGGTGAATGGATAGTCGTCCTCATCTTCAAAAAGGGCCTGCGCACAATCTGCTCCAACTACAGAGGAATAAGTTTAGTCCCCGTCGTTCGCAAGCTGCTGGTGTCCATCATACTTCGCAGGCTATCCCCAACACGCGAATCGTTGCAACGAGAAGAACAAGCTGTGTTTCGCCCTGGTCGCGGCTGCATCGATCAAATCTTCACACTTCGCCAGATCCTCGAGCTCCGCCATGTGTATCAGAGGCCAGCGATTGCTGTGTTCCTGGATATCCGTGCAGCCTTCGATTCTGTCGATTGTACAGTATTGTGGCACTGCCTACTGAGGAATGGTGTCCCCGAGAAGTTCGTCTCCATACTGCGCGCTCCATATAGTCTGACCTCAGGCAGGGTTAGGGCTTATGGCAAGCTTTCGCCTACCTTTGTGGTCTCCAGTGGAGTTCGCCAAGGATGCCCTATCTCTCCGCTCCTATTCAACTTTGCCATTGAGGATGTCTTGAAAAACTCTCTGGGCGATTCGTTGAACGCTGGCGTTGAGCTCCTCCCAGGTAGTCGAGTTGTTGATTTGAATTATGCTGATGATATCGTCTTGCTGGGTGATGATCCACAGGTCGTCCAACTTGCATTAAACCGCTTGGCGATGGAAGCATCAAAGTACGGGATGTACTTCTCGCTATCCAAATGCAAGTCTCTCTTCCAAGACTGGCAGGTGCCTCTGCCTGCATTCACGCTTGCTGGTGAGACACTAGAGGTTGTGGAGAGCTTTGTCTATTTGGGAAGTTGCATCACTGCTGGCGGGGCTGTTGGAGACGAGATTTCGATGCGCATCTCGAGAGCAGGCCTCGCTTTTTCTAGGCTGAGGCATTTGTGGCGTCGCCACGACATTCGTCTCTCCATCAAAGGGCGGGTCTATTGTGCAACTGTTCGTGCTGTACTGTTGTACGGATGCGAGACCTGGCCCATTCGTAAAGATGACTTGCGCAGGCTGTCCGTCTTCGAGCACCGCTGTCTGTGGTCCATTGCCCGTGTGTGGTGGCAGCACCACGTAAGCAATTTGGAAGTTAGACAGCGTGTCTTGGGACGTGGAAGCCATTTGCTCGAGGAGCTCGTCTCACTGCATCAACTGCGGTGGTTGGGACACGTATTGCGCATGCCTGTCCAGCGTTATCCGCGTCGTGCGTTGTTTGCGGTTGCTGGACAGGGTTGGAGAAGACGGTCTGGTGGACAGCCTACAACATGGAGAAGCCGCATGAAAAAGCTGTCGAAACAGTTGGCCTCGGCCGGTTGTTGTCGACTACCTGGTTGGGGTCCTAGAGATGCGGATACTTGCTGGCTGGAGACCTTGGAAGCCATGGCTCAAGATCGATGTCAATGGCGGACGTGTGCATCGGTGTGTTGCGGTGTCCCTTTTTCCTCCCCCTAAAAAAGAACAAGCTGAAAAAATTTCAAAAACTGTGAGTGTTAAAAGAGACAAAAAACATTTGTTGTTGCTCATTTCTTATTATTCTTACTCAGCCATGATTCCGACGGCACACTATCTGTATCACAGATTATATATATATATATATATATATATATATATATATATATATATATATATATATAGTCCCTTTTTCTTAGGTTATACGTTGCTTTTTGAGGTACCGACTGTTAGTAACTAGCGTGTGTCATTCCGTGTAATTCAACGAGCCGGTAACTTCAGTCTCGTAACTATAAGCTATTCGCAGCCATTTTGCTCCCAATCTTGCTACCCAACAAAGTGTCGAAATCACGGAAGTCAAGAGTGGTTTTCTTTCATACGATGTTTGCTTTAACCACTCTCTTACTCATCGATTGGTACTCGAAGGTGTTACGTGTGTAGACAACTCGAAAACCGTCTTCAACCCGCTGACTACATTTCTCTGAAGATACCTATCCTTATAATATATATAAAATAAACCGTTCTTTATCACCAAGTCTCCTGACTTCTGTTTTGATTGCCATGCAAACGTTTTAGCCTCACCAAGCTAGTCTGAATATGTTGTGGCCCCCTGTATCATGAAGTTCAGTATGAAAGCATTCGCCGCTTACTTGCTGAAAATATGTACTTCATAGTTCAATTCCCGGACTGTCATCTAGGTTACTTACCGCTCAGCTTTCATTTCATGCAATGCTTAAAATGTTAGGCGCTGTAGCCCCATCCATGGACCTGTCTTCCGACTAATGAATTTGATGGACCAGTCGAGCTCTGAACAACCACTGGTTCCGTGCTTTTATGCACTGATCACACGACAGACTGGATTCCAATGCTCATCTGCTCATTGCATTCCTCTTCTATGTTGAAGACCACTTTTTTCTGTGCTCCAGATGGGGCGAGGAAACCGTTCCGCTTTTCCCACATGATCTCATGTTAAAGAAATATCGACTTTACGGCCTTGACTAGAATGATCCACGAATTATGTGTATTGTGGGATTTTCTTCACTTCCTGTTAGGAAAAGTCATGCTCTCCACATTTTCATAAGCTAACTGTGCCTTTACGACCTGTCAGGCGCTTGGGAGCTCGGTTCTCACACATTGAATTTCTCCTTACATTGGATCCGTTTCTGATAGTTTTCATGCTTTTACCAAGTACGCTGTAGACGTGTGTCCTCTTCCTTCTGGTGGACGCTTAAGTACTCTTAAATAGTGTCGTTGTGTTATTTCATTTTTACTGCGCCACCACTTTATGTTAGATCACTGCTAAACTATTGCCCTTCACTTTTCTACAGGTCTTTCATGTTTCTCCTCGCACACCTAGTGGCATTGGTTTACCTGCTATCGCAACTGGTCGCATTGCGTTTACTTCGGCGTTGCTCGGTAAGTGCAAGGTGAACTTTTCACCTCTGACTATCATTATCCGCTTCAAACAGTGCCTCTGAGCACCCAGCCACTCCCCACAATTCAAACGCCAGCTGGAACGTTTCTTTTCACTGCGGCGCTTGTAACGCTTGGTGTGTGTAGACGCGCCCACTCGTGTACTGTAGTTGTGCGAGTATACATGCACATACTGCAGCGTTGCGGGCTGTTTAGGTTTACTCATATGGTATGTGTGTCGGTCGGACAAATGGGTTTTCTGCGTAACTTCCGTGTGCTCCCTATTGTCGTGCTTCTTTCAATAAGCAACATCGTGTTCGCTAGACCTGTTCCGCATTGCTCCCCCCTTTGATTTTGTAGCATTTGGGATTCCTTAATCGGCCAACCTTCAGTCGCATCTTCATGTCGAGCTCCGTGGCCGCACCAGTCGCAGCGGTCGCCGTCACTTGGGTGAGTTTGTGCCCCTTGTGCCATTTCCTCTACCAATTTGTCATCTGGCCCTGACGTTCGAGCAGCAGACACATTGTCCTGTCAGTTATCTTCCGCACAACATCCCTCCACTCTGCTCCTTTCACTACTACATCGTGGCACTGATTAACTGCCTTACCATCTGTTTTCACCCTCACGACAGCTGCTACGTTGTTTTTGCCTGGCAGCGCCCTACTTGCTTGCCTGTGGCACCAGTCACCGCATGCGGCTGTGGGTGTCCTACATGTTGCCTGCTCTTGCAAACTGACCACAGTTACATTGCCTCAGACAACTGACTCTATGTCTTGGGCGCAGTGCTTATTCTTGGTTTCTTCTGGACAATCGACTGCTCTATACGCATATGATACAGCTCACTAACTCTCTAATCCGTTGTATCGACAATTCTTGCCGATCATACCTCATCAATCGGATTGTATGCATGAAAGTGATCTTAGGCAGGAGGAATTTCAGACTTCGAACATTTTGTGCGCCATGCCGGATAATCCGGATCAAAGAGTGATACTGATTTACGTAACATCGAACAGTGGAAACGCAATCCAGGAAGCGCTTCGTTAGCGCAATCCATCTGTTTTGATAAACTCAAGGTTCCACCAAGAATTCGCGCTGTACACCTTTTTTCAACCTCCAATTTTGTCACACTGTTGCCGTGTGGCCATTACGCAAAGCTTTCTCGATGACAACATTGTTGGATGGCCATTACTTCCTTTCTCTCCCAGATACGCTGTTGCCGGGTCCTTGATAGCGTGATTTTCTCAGTGATAACCTTGTCGGGTTGTAATTGCATCACTCTGGCAATTCTATTGTCTTCCGAACAGTGGGCAGATGATCACAGAGTCGTAGTACCTTGTAAATTATGTAAACCAGTCGACCTAACATCTTTAGCTAGGCGTTCCCAACGCTGTGTACGTTCTTCTAGTGCTCGCTTAAGTGATTGGGGGAGAGCATTTGGTTACCTCAGAGTCTCGCTCATGTCGCCCTCATCTCGCACGACCATTTAACCACACACCGTCGCTTTTACTGGCTATCCTGAGCCGCCTGTTCATCTCATACGTCGTGCAAGCGCTGGTTTGTCACAGTAGCCCATTGTGAGCCCGAGGTCAGCCCCATCCTGACAACTCCGAGCCACGAAACCCACCTTCCCCATTCCCTCTTTCTTCAGGCCATTCATTTGATTAAGCGCATTTCGCGCGTCAACCGTCACATCCGCGGCGGTTGTATCAAGGTTAACTGGTCCCCACAAGTCATACACAACAATGTTTGCACTTTGCCACTACCTGCATTCGGGTGCATTGTTTACCTACACAGGTGCCGCTAGTCGGGGCAAAGCGGGGTGTTGCGTCACCTTAACTAGAGATCAGAATTCATCCTTGGAGTGATCAAACGGAAGCATCGCTGGGCCTACCTCACACGACGTCGCACACTGTTAATGCAGTGATCTGATGGTAATGTCGAACAGCCTTTATGTGTCAGCTCTAACCGAAGCTGGTGAATTCCAAGTGCCAGTATCTACGCGCGTCTCCCTATTTTTATGCGGTTTCCGACCGCATTTGGCACGCGCTTACACTACACACGCCATCTTCATGCTACTCAGGAACTTCCATGACACCTGTTGTTTAGCGAAAGGACTCACCTCATCGAATTAATCCGCCAAACATTTTCACTTGTCGTTACAGACATCATCCCTCTAGAACCCAGTTTATCCGACATCCTTTATTCTTCCGGTCTTCACTTGGTGTGTCGGTATCCACACGTATTTGTCGCATTCAAATTTACTTTAAGGTACCGCTTAGCTTATGCAACATAACGTATATACTGCGATGCCTTCAGCTACTGTTTGGCTAAATGATGTTAAAGAAACCAATTACCCTTAAAAGCTGATTTGCGAGGTCTCTCGGCGCACTGAAATCGGATTTTCTTTCGTTCATCACGTTGCTTGAACCCTCCCGGTACTGCCTGTCTTACTCATTTTCTTTTTCCCTCTCGCGTTCTCCAGTCCGCGTGTCAGCCCTCTCTTCTGGTCAACGCATCAACCGCGCTCAATAATACCAATGTGCCATTCGTGATGCAGTCCGCATCGAGTACTCTTGAATCTGGCCAACTTTGTCCGCTTCCCTTCGAATTTACCCTCCTCGTTGGCCTCTCTTGTATGTTGCCTGCAGTTCTTTGCCAAGCTACCATGTTCGCAGCTGCACCAAAGACTGTCGAGTTCGGATACGACAGTCACCTGACCAAACACGACCAGCTATCGCCTGAGCCAGTGTTGCTGAATCAGCTCTCTCGTTTCTGCATCGGCTGTACTGTTTTGTTGTTACATACCACCGCTTTCGTTTGGTCAACGCTTAACTCCAGATGGTTCTCTCGTTCACAGCTTCGAGGTACAGGGTAAGATAACTTTGTGTCATACTACACACACGCGCACACGATCTGACAGCTACGTGCATTCATTTCGTTCAACTGTAACATTTGTCTACCTGAGCTGAGCACTGTACCCGCTGATGTCGGTCTCCTCATTCCATATCCGTTACCATGCGTGATCCCGAGGAAATCGGGCAAAGTTCCACGTTTGTTCACTTCATCTGTGCTGCTTTCGGTCATCATTCCTCTTTGTACACGTTAGCTAGAAGTGGGAAACACCTCAGCTACTGTGCCGCAATACGTAAACGAAAGAAAAAAGCACGAACCGTGCAACAGATGGATGCCAGCTAAGCTACCAGTAACGGATGGGCATCGTTACGGATAGGTACCAGCCGGCCACTATGCAGCGAAAAAAGTTATTATGCAACATTATATTACGCTAAAAAATGAGATCATGGTTGGACGGGGAGGCTAAGAGGGATGGGGTGGGACAAAGAAACTCACAGCATCAACGCCATTGAGGTCGACTCTTAGCCATGTCAGCAGTTGTATCCAACCAAACGTGTCCATCGTCTTTCGGCTGCTTTCGGTGCTTTTTCCTATCCCAATGATCACGCCACGAAGCGGTTTACCATCTTGTCGACCGAATTAGCTCAATGATGCGTGACTTTCGATCCTACGTTTGTATTTCACATGGAATCTTGCTCAATCTGGCATGTCTCTGGGTTCCTTATCCCTGTCATGAGGACAATTCGGAATGAGCTTGGCAGAAGTCGGTAACAGCGGTACCATGCGTTTTTGTTGATCACTGTGCCATACCTGCCTGGGGTCAGTTTTGTCCTACTTTGTGTCATTAATCGCCCACTGTTTGTCACTTGTGCGTACAACAAACAGCACGTGTGTTGTTACTCGAGCACTACTGTGTCCTGTCTGTGGTAACCCCATCGCGACAAGATTGGTTTGCGTGCCTCAGCAGTTCATTGAGCGTTAGCTGGGTGGTGCTTTTTGCATCCTCAGAGCAACTCACACCAGGTTAGTCAGTGGTTAGAGGCAAGACTAGCTCAGTCTCCTGGCCCTCCAGGCTGGGGTTAGAATGAGGGTGACTCCTTACTCCGTAAAACGGGCTCTCTGTAGTCCAATACCAAAACTCCGCTGCTTTGCGGTTCTGATTTTTAAACCAAAGGCTTTGGTTGAGAACCTTAACCGTTCTCTTGTCTAGGCCTGGGCAACGTGACAGTATCCTGCCCACGCAATACAATCCTATGAAATTTTCTCCACATCATTTCCCGTTCTATTTGACAGGCCAGTTTGCATCGTTCATTACTTTGTGAAAAGCAGATTTTTCGTGTGTAGTTTTGTCAAATCCATTTTCTTTTGTGATTCTTAATTTGTTTATTATGTATTTGTTTCGTGTCCGTACATTTTACTCCGGGAATTGTATCGTGTACTTATCGTTCACTTTATCGCCTTTACCGTCACATCTGTTAAGCTATCAGTAATGACGAAGCTGACTCCCTGTGGCACTTGTTGCAAAATAGTTGGGCATAGAGCCAATGCTGTTACATGCCTCATGTGTGGTGTGAACTTCCACATTTCGTGTGTTGGTTTGTCTTTAGATCATTTTAAACTACTGCTTGAAATCCAGCATGACGTTGTCCAAATATTGCGCAAGTAATGCCAAGCCGCTGTGCAGTCACAAACATTCGAGAAGCCGCGCGAGCCTTCAAGACGGGCGAAACGTTCCATAGGGAGGAGCTCGGTGGGTTCATCCAAGCAAACGGAAGCCCAGCCACCTATATATTCGAACGAGCCCACCTGTCCACCGGCTGCAGGCTCTCCAGAGCGATGTTCACCCGTTGCCTAAGCCTCAGCTAGCATGCCTGTGCAGTCACAAGCAGCTGAGAACCTACGTGAGCCTGCAAGACAGGCAAAAGGTTCCCTAGGGAGGAGCTCCGTGGGTTCATCCAAGCAATGGGAAACTCAGCAACCTCTATGTTCGAACGAGACCACCTGCACACCGACTGCAGGCTCTCCAGCGCGATGTCCACTCGTTGCTGGAGACTCAGCTAGCGTGTCTGTGTTGCGTCCTACGGACACCAACCTACCGGTGTGCCATAGCGCAGACGTTGAACGCAAATGGCGAATGCACCGAAGCAAAAAGGAGAAGATAAATGCCAGCAATCGGTGGCGTTGTAACCTTATGATATTTTACGCGCCTGAGTGGACCAATGCTAATCCTCAGGCTCGTTATGACCACGACGTGGATCTTCTGTAGAGTCTGCTTGATAGGCTTCTCGACGTGAATGAACAAGGGTTGTGGGTGCAGCAAATCACCCCTCTTGGAAAGAGAGATGAGGGGAAATCTCGGCCTCTGCGAGTCACATTTGTTGATGCAACGAGTCCAAGATTGATACTATCCCGCCTCGGTAGGCTAAGAGGTCTAAAGATCCATATTCGTCCCGATTTGGACCCGTCGGACAGAGAAACTGAAGTCCACTATCATGGAGTTGAAACGGCGGACTGACAGTGGAGAAACCAATCTCCACATTGTGAATTTTCGGGTAGTTCCCCGGGTCCGCCGAACCCGGATCAACTGATCGATGGCGCTTCATGCGCGTCCGCCGGTTCCTACCGCGGCCTGCTCGTACGTAGCCTTCACAAATGTTTGTAGTTTAATGAACAAACATGACGATGTCTTTCACTTCGTTGCCTCACGTCGTCCGGATGTACTAGGACTGGCCGAATCTTGGCTAAATTCTGTGGTCACTACCCACGAAGTCCAGATCAGTGGCTTCTCGTGCTTTCGGTGCGACAAACTATCAAACTGTCGAGGCGCCGCGCTGTTATACATTCAGTCCTAGCTGTGTGGGAGACTGGTACACACCTACCGTAGCAAAGATGGCTCGTGCGAACAGTTCTGGCGCTCGGTCCTCCTGAGACAGCCTGAACTGTTTGTGGGTGTGGCTTATCGTAGCCCGCGAAGTCGATGCCTGGATTGGTTGCCACATGCCAGAAACTACATGAGTCGGCCCCGCTTCCTGCTTATGGGTGATTTTAACTTTCCTCGAATACAGTGGCCTGAGCTTCAACTTCTCCCTGGGCACTGTGAAGTTGAGGCGCAGTTTGCGGAGTTGGTACTTGAAACTGGGGCAGCACAATATATCTGCCAACCGACGCGCGTTACATCGCATTCCGCTCCATCGTGCCTGGACCTACTACTAACGGGTTGCGAGCAAGGTGTACATGAAATTCAGGTCCTAGAGCCTCTGGCAGCTAGTGACCACTCGATGGTGTTATCCAGCCTAGAGCTGCCGCTGCCCCACTCGTGTCTGGCGGAGCCGTTCTACAACTATTGGAGGACCGACTTGGATGGTCCCAATCGAGTCGCCAGTAAAATAGACTGGTCGGTGCCGCAGGACTCATCCGTTGAAGCATGTAGCTTTTATAAAAGTGGGTGTGCAGTTGTTGTGGGCTCCTTTCGTGCCTCTCAAGTATCAGAAAACTGGGCCAGTGAAGCCACATTGGTTCGACAGAGAGTATAGTCAATTGGCTCGACGGCGACGCGTATTGTGGATTAAATTCCTCGTGTCTGGCTTTTCCGGCGATTATGGGGCGTACATAAGGCAGCGGAATCTATGCAACAGCGCGAAAGCATCGGCAGTTCGGGGAGGAGCTTGCAACCTTAGCGGACGGCCCCCAAGATTTTTGGTTAAATGAAGCGGCGTCTGAGGTCCGCAAGTACGTAGCTGTGTTACAGGGCACTGAACGTGCGTCCGAATTGGCAGAACACTTCGCTTCCTTATATACAACTGGGCATGCGCCTATGCGGAGCTCGATGTGTGCATCATCATCATCAGCAACAGCAGTACATCAGCCATTTGAACTGATGCTTCGCTGCCATACAACCATGATGACTTATGAAATAAAGAATAATAAGTGGAGAGAAGGGGGACTTACCTGAAAACCTTAATGCCCTAAGCAAACATTCAGGGTCAAGGCGCCTACACCTTGTGTCAACAACATACTGTCACAAACAGCTGACTATCGTGCAAAGATAAGGCGGCATCAGCGAGACAGCTTCCTTGCGGCTTTCACTGCCACTCGTCATAATCAGCCATTACCCCGCAGATAACTCAGCACCAAACACGCTTTAAACAGGGAATCCGATTAGGAGACGTCAGCAGACGCGCCGCTGGTGTCGGTTGCGAGCCATGTCCTGTAAAGTCTCGAGCCAAGCACAAGGTGAGTCACGTGGACTCCAGCCCGGAAGGCGAGACGGACCAACGGCCCCCAGTTTGCTCGTCAGTGACTTCATTTCCCTCTACCAATTCAACTTCTGTCCACCTCGAGCCTTGCACCACCCTACACCTGGCAGACTAAACAAGGCCCTCCTAGGTAAGCGGTGACTAGGCATACGTAGCACGTGCCCGAGCCAACGCCACTTATTCAGTGCTATCTGTTGTTCTAGGGAGCTAGCATGATTATCACCACCTAGTACTCGCCTACGCACATCATCGTTGCGGACACGCTGTTGCCATTCGACACCAGCAATGCTTCGCAGACAACGGTGATCAAAGACTTGAAGGCGCTTCAGATCTTCAGACCGAAGGGGCCAAATCTCACTAGCATACAGCAGAACGGCCCTCATTGTGGCCTTGTATACACGGCCTTTCAGACGGAGGGAAACTCCCTTCTGTCGCAAAAGATGACGCAGATTCAAGAAGGTAGCTCTGGCTTTTGCAATGCGTGAGCTCACGTCAGTTTCTATGCGCCCATAATTGCTGATGCAGCTGCCAAGATAAGTGAAATGATCAACCACCTCGAGTTCCTCGTTAGCAAGCGTCAAGGAGTCATCAAGTGGCTGGTGTTCCTGCAGCAACACTTTGCACTTTGAAGGTGCGAAGTGCATACCAAATAATGGGACCACTCTGGATAGGCTATTCAGGGTTGATTGTGCCGTCCCAACATCGTCGAAAAGCAAGACGATATCGTCTGCATAATCTAGATCAGCCACTCTTTCACCAGGC